TTTATTCTGGGCTTGTGCCTGGAGTTCTTGGCCCTTGACAGGTGGGTGGGTTGGTGGTGGCATGCAGCTGAGCTAGTTGATTTTGCCTCGTTGCTGGTTTGGCTGGCATTGCACGGCGGCCTGGCACGGGCGGCCTTAATTTTTCCGGCAGTTGGGGGGACAGCAGACTTTTATTGGTGGGTGCACGGTGGGTGCACGGTGGGTGCACGGTGGCCTACATGGCGCGTTTGCTGCCGGGCTGGGACTTGCTGCTGGTGTTTCACTCAGCTGGCTTTCGCTGTCGTGTTCTGCCGCTCGCTCTCTCTCGTTTGCCTGACCTCGCGTGCGGGATTCACGGGGGGGCTACCGGGCATTGGGTGTTGCCATGCTTGTGTTGGGCTCGTCACTTGTGCATTTGTGTTGATGATTGCGTGGCATTTGGGCGTTTTGGTTACACGGCGGTGGGGTGCTGGGTGGGGGGGGGCACTGGTCTATGTGATTGTGCGCGCTGCGGTCAGTCCGAGCGCTGCTCTTCCTCTTGCGTTCCGTCAGCATTGCGTTGTCAATTGGCATTTGGATGGCCGTTTTTATTTATTTATTTTGGGGATCTGTTGGTTGGGTCGGGGTCTTCCACGTTTGCATCGCCGAACATCTGGGAGTCATATTTTTATTTATTTGTTATTTTAACATTAAGGAGCTGTATGCATCCTTAATGTTAGCATACAGCAGGTCCAGGGTCCTCTCCCCTCTAGTATGGCAGCTCACATACTGGATGAAGTTGGTTAGTGGGGTGGTCACGGTGATGTGGTTTAAGTCACCCAAGATCACTATGAGGGCACTCAGGTATTGAGTCTGGAGTTCAGCAATGGCGGTGTGGGTGACGTTACACGCCAATGTCGGGTTGGCAGAGGGCAGAATGTAAACAGCAACGGCGATGGCATGTGAAATTTCCCGTGGCAGATAATAAGGCCGGAGTCCCTCAGCAAGCAGTTCAATGTCCGGGCTACAGATACGCTGTTTAACCGTAATGTGGCCGGGATTACACCGTCTGTTGTTAACTAGAACGGAAAGCCCCCCGCCTTTACGCTTACCGCTCTCGGTGCAGTCCCTGTCGGCCCGAACAGTCTGAAAGCCGTCGATGGAGACGTTGTGGTCAGGAATATCCGAGTGTAGCCAAGTCTCCGTGAAGCACATTTAACTACACTCCCAGAACTCCCTCTGACTCTGGGCTAACGCTGTTAGCTCGTCCATCTTATTTGCCAGTGACCTTACGTTGCCCATGATGAGAGAGAGGAGAAACGGCTTAAATGTCCTTCTCCTGAGTCTCTGTTGTCTGGACCCCCCTCTCTCTTCCCTCGCCGTTTCATTCCTCCTCTACATCCTCTACATCTACTATTGGCTAAAAGACTTAAAATGGTACTCTGTTATTGAAGAAACACAGTCAGGTTTCATGACCAAAAGACATATAACAAATAATATTAGACTTGTCGTAGACGTCCTAGATTACACAGATTTGATTGATGATAATGGGTTTATTTTATTTTTAGACTTCTATAAAGCTTTCGCTACTGTGGAGCATCAGTTCATCTTACAGTCTTTAAAGAAATTCGGCTTTGGTAATTTTTTCTGTACAGCTATTAAAACTCTGTATAGCAACAGAGTGGTACATCCCCAAGATTTAATCTATCTAGAGGCATTAGACAGGGTTGCCCCACTTCCCCATACCTCTTCCTATTAGTAGCTCAACTGTTGTAACTGTGAAAGGTATCTCTCTTATAGGGAGAGAATTAATTATAACTCAGTTGGCAGATGACACCACATTATTCCTGAAAAATGAAAACAAAGGTTCTATTGCAATTGATGTAATCGGCATGTTTTCTAAGGCTTCTGGTTTGTGGACATAAGTGTGAACTTTTGGCTATAAAAGAGTGCCCTAAACCAGCTCTTTGTAATATTCCAATAAAACTTAACTTTCTGGATTTTTATAACTTAAATAACACCTTTAAAATAAATTGGCTGAAACAATATTATAGACCATTGGAATGTTTTACCACTTCATGTATTATCAAAGCTGGGTGGCATGAGGTTGTTCCTAGTTTGTAACTATGATATTGATAAGGTATCTGTTAAAATGTCTGCCTTTCATCGCCAGGCTTTCTTGTCATGGTCTCTCATCTACTTCATACAACCTCACAAATATCTTATATGGAATAACAAGGACATTTTATATAAACACAAATCTCTCTTCATGGAATATTGGTTTAACAACAGCATTGTGTTGGTAGATCAGTTATTTAACCGGAATGGTCTTCTGTTTACTTATGAAGAATTTCTTTCAGAATATAATATACCTGTTATACCTGGGGACTATGCAAAGGTTTTTGGTGCAATACCCTCTGGAGTCTATATGCTATTCAAATCACAAACAAGGGTTACTGCACAGCAACTGCCCTTGTTATTTCAGTCCGACACTTCCATAGGAAAAATGAGTTTCTCTAGTCATTCAATAACAGATCTATAAGAGCTTTTTTCCAAAGAGACATTGCTACAGTACCATATGTGATTTCATACTGGAATCGATATGTAGATGATATAGTATGGAAGAAGGCATGGCTTCTACCTTATCAATACTTAATCATCAATAAAATCAAAGAAATGTCCTTTTAATTAATACATAAATCCTTTCCAGCTATTCTATATGTACAGATTTAATTCAATTCAATTTCAATTCAATTTTATTTATATAGCGCCAAATCACAACAACAGTTATCTCACAGCGCTTTTCATAAAAGAGCAGGTCTAGACCGTACTCTGTGATGCTATTTACAGAAGCCCAACAGTTCCCACCAAGAGCAAGCACTAGGCGACAGAGGCAAGGAAAAACTTCCTTTTAAGAGGCAGAAACCTCGAGCAGAACCATGGCTCAGGGTGGGCGGCCATCTGCCTCCACCGGTTGGGGTGAGAGAGAGAGAGAGAGAGAGAGATGTAAGGGAGAGAGAGAGACAGATGTAAGGAGAGAGAGATGTAAGGAGAGAGAGAGAGGGGAGGGAGGCAGCCTACACAATATACACACAGAGGTACACACAGTGAAGTTAATGCTGCTATAGACCAAATGAAAAATGGTACAGATATTTATAATAGTGTTAATGGTAACCATCGTAATGTTAATGATTATAATAACAATAATAACAATAAGACTAGCAACAATAGTCGTTGTAGCAGAGGGTGTCGAGCAGGAACACGGGGGCAGCAGGTGACCCGCAGCCACAGCTCCAGACTCCACAGGTCCAGAGCCAGAAAACCTGCAGGAAGTGACAGGAGGAGAGAGGAGAGGGACGAGAAAGCACAAGACTACCAGAAAGGGGAGAAGTTGTGTTAGTAACATGCAATAATGGGATAAGGTTGCATACAGAGGGAGAGAAAGTAGAGGAGAGAGGAGCTCAGTGCATCATGGGAAATCCCCCGGCAGTCTAGGCCTATAGCAGCATAACTAAGGGATGGTTCAGGACTCACCTGAGCCAGCCCTAACTATAAGCTTTATCAAAGAGGAAAGTCTTAAGCCTACTCTTAAATGTGGAGATGGTGTCTGCCTCCTGAACCCAAACTGGAACCTGGTTCCACAGGAGAGGAGCTTGATAGCTGAACGCTCTGGCTCCTAGTCTACTTTTGGAGACTCTAGGAACCACAAGTAACCCTGCATTCTGGGAGCGCAGTGCTCTGGTGGGGTAGTAAGGTACTATGAGCTCTTTAAGATAAGATGGTGCCTGACCACTAAGAGCTTTGTAGGTAAGAAGAATGATTTTAAATTCTATTCTGGATTTTACTGGAAGCCAATGCAAAGAAGCTAAAACAGGAGAAATGTGATCTCTTTTCCTGGTTCCTGTCAGAACACGTGCTGCAGCATTCTGGATCAGCTGAAGAGTCTTAATGGACTTTTTCGAGCAGCCTGATAATAAGGAATTGCAGTAATCCAGCCTAGAAGTAACAAATGCATGGACTAGTTTTTCTGCATCATTTTTAGACAGGATGTTCCTGATTTTCGCAATATTACGTAGGTGGAAAAAGGCGGTCCTTGAAATTTGCTTAATGTGAGACTTAAACGAAAGATATTGAAGTAAATTGTAGTTTCTGTGGTGGCTGTCCAGAATCTGTTGTACATTTGTTTTGGCATTGTCCTGTTGTGAAAAATTTCTGAAAAAAATTATGTGATTTTATTTCAGAAAATATCTCTGAAAGTTTTGCTTTCTTCTGGAAGAATGTATTGTTAGGTTTCCCAAAAAATAACGCACAACAAAAAACTTGTGTGTACTTGATTAATCTCCTTATAATTATATTATGGCCTAATTTCATATTCACAAATGTAAATTCACAGATAAGAAACCTTGCTTTGTTGTCTTTTCAAATGAGTTCAAACATTACATCTCATCAATTCAGGGATTTCTAAAGCAAAAGGTGATTAAAACTGTATCAGCTTGTATCATTTTTAAGGTAGTACAAGTGTGTAGTAGTGCTACTTTGTTAGATTGTTGTAATTATTAGAAATTAATAATGTACTGTTGAATTAGGTTTTTCATATCTTTATTATATTCCTATTACATCATAGTGAACAGTTTAATCTCCAGTGATTAAAAACATTTTGTTATCTTGATTTGAAAGAGTTAGTTGGATCATTTTGAACAGGCAGATTTGCGGTAACCTTCTTTGACTGACAGAACCACTTTTGCGGATATGCAGAACGGATATAACGTTAGCAGGATTTGGCACTGTTGTTAAAAAGACAGGAAAATGCAGTGTGCATGCGGACAACATGGTGTACGTTTTGCCCATGGTTTTGCCACGTTTTGTCGGCGCTGAACTCGCCCCTGGACTATTGTTTTTTGTAGTTTCGAGTTCCGAGTTGTCTCGAACGCAGCATTATAGAAAAGGAGAGCAGCAGGGGGAGGTTTTAATAGTATTGTCATGGCAACTGTGCTGACGTGTATTGAAAACCCTCCCGTGTTTCATGGTCACGCCTCCTTCAGATGAGAATATTTGTACCATCCAGTCGGGAGCCATTGTACCGCCGGGGAACATTCTCATGTCTACGGAATGAAATACTAAAATTACATCTTAAACAGTCTTTAATTCGACATAGTTGTAACACCAGCGCACCAGTAACAATAAAATAACGTATATTGTCGATGAAGTAAAGGAAAAGACGAGATCTAACGTTTCAGAGGTTGAACGACGACTGTATTTTCCACGGTTAGCCTGGCGGAGGGATCCAACCGACTTCAGTAGACGGTAGAAGAGGAACATCCGCCGTCTAATTGCGCACCAGTTGTTTATTTCCTCTAAACTTCGTTTTAACGTCCGTGCTTGGCTTTTCTCTTAAGTCGGTGTGCTTATTTAGATGGCAAGCTTCCCAGACTCTGTAAACGAAAATGATATAGGTAAGTTCAAATGCTAAATGTTTCGTTTCTCTGTGAGCAAGTTCTGGGAGCATCGTGAGGAGTTAACGTTAGCCTCGGAGTCAACGGGTCCGTTGCAACCTTAAAATTATATCGCACCAAACTAAATTGTTTCAGTATAACTTAAAGTTACGCTACCAGTTAAATAACAGTTAGATTAATTAAAATCTTTAACTAAGTTACGCCGTGGTAGGCTGTGGTGAGCATTGTTTGCCTGTTGTAATAGCTCAGTTGCAAAGATGCTATTTTAAGTGAATCTAACGTTACGGTAACGTGACAGAGCCACTGTTTTGTGCAATGGTCTTGTATAACGTTATGTTCGGCGTGTGGTTAATTACACTGAACATCGGGGCGTAGCGTTAACTAATGTTAACACAGCTAGCGTCAGTTTAGCTCACTTGAATATCTGTAAAATTATATGCAACCGTCTCAGTTAACATAGTGTGCATTGCATTACCGGTATATTACAGGTTAGTTATGGTTATTTAGTTTATTATTTTACTCTCTATGGTTAAAATTTGGTCCTTCGCGCTGTGTTGCTGATTAAAAGCTGTGCTCAGACCCGGCCCTCCCCCACACACAAGCAGTGAGATTCATAACCCTGCACACAACACTGCCTACGTGTGTTACGTGCGTGTCCACATGCTAAACGTTAACTTACACGGCATATACCGTAACCTGTCTTTCTCAAATGCTTGTGTATCATATCATCTAGTGTGTCTGTAATGTTGGTTAGTTCTGTTTTTCCTTATTGTAAGAATCTAAAACTAAAAGTTGTGACAAAGAAATCCAGCTCCCTTCATACTTATGTGTAAAGATAAATCCAAGAAGTTAGCCGGACCAAACCCTAAAAGAAAACAGTTGTCCCTAATGAAACATTTATGGAACAACAGACAGTTGTTATGAAATTGTCCATCAGTTTTGATTCCATCACATTTGTTGGGAAAGTATAAGCCAACATTTCAAAGTAGATCTGACTACATTTTGACTTGTCGGTCAGTACATTCAGAGGTCAAGTATGGATCATGGATGTGGACATAGAGTATTAGTGTCTCTAGTAGTTTGTTTTCTAGACATGTTATTTATTCATTTCTTCAAATGAACATGCATTTCAGAAATTGTTTTAGTTAGTTATTAGTTATTTTACCAAGCATTGAAGCTCATTAATTTGTGAAGTACCCCATCCACTTTTTTTGTATGAATGGTTTGGTTTGCACAGTTAGCCAGACAGATGCCTGCGTCATTGACAAGCCCGTGTGTGTGTGTGTGTGTGTGTGTGTGTGAGTGAGTGAGTTAAGAGGTTACTTTGGGAGAATGGAATTCTTGTGGGTTGGCCATAAGTGATTCTATTGATGGGTATAGCTGAAGCAACAATGTCGCTTTTCCAGGTAAGGCTAAGTTCATTGGTGAACTCCTGGTGCCTGTTGCTCCCTTTGACCAGAAATCTGGCCGCGAGGCGTGGACAGTAGCCTTTGCACCCAATGGTTCCTACTTCGCTTGGTCTCAGGGGCATCGCATTGTCAGGCTCATTCCCTGGACAAAATGCCTAAAGAACTTGTAAGTATCACATCATTATTATCTCACTCAAATGCAGTGTTACAAGTAATTGAAATGTAGCAACCATTATAACGTTAACATACATATTTATGGTTTTGTTCAATGGTTAAGACCATACACCAGTCTTTCCCTTATATTGCAAATGTGAACTAGTCACCTTTTGAGCGATTGAGAAGTTTCCTTTTGATTTTAATGTACAAATGAAATTATACAGAAAGGGTGAATAAAAATGCTGACAGTGCCTATTATGTTCTACAGATAAATGTCAAAAGCTGTAAATGAAGTAAATGAAGACACAAAATGCAAGCATGAATTGTCCTATCTCCAATGATTCAGAGTAGGGCTGGATGAACATTTTACATCAATTACGATGATGAAATATTTTTTTTTTTGCCCTCATAGTTCACTGACGAGCTTTATGTTGTAAATATACTCAACTATTAAAGGGGCTATATGTAGTTTTTCAATGAAATCACTTATTAATAAATCAAATGTTTACTTTCTTTTTGTCAATGGACTCTAACCTCATTTAGAAATGAAGTTGTGTTATGTGAGGCCACCTGGTCGGTATGTCCCAAGCCTCTCTCTGATTACAGCAACAACACCGCAGCTAACGACACGCAGTCCACTAACACCACAAAACAAGCGGCTCCCAACAAAACACAAACCCTAACATAAACTCCATGTAAGGATACAAAACAACAATATAAAGTATTATGTGCTGAAGCCAATCAGACTAAAAAAGATCAGATAATGTTGAGTGAAAACGCAATGAACATTAGAAAGGCTGGAGCCACTGAGACAGGCACGTTAGCTCGCCGGCTAATGCAGAGCAGTTGGTATTGCAAAGTTGTATTGCTTTCCACATTACTTCACCAGTTTGCGTGACCCATATTACTATCATGTGTACCACCAGTATTATGTCAAAGTGTTGATTTTAGCCTGCAAGAAAGGATGTAATGGTACAGAGCAAATGTTTGTTTATGCCTATAGTGATTCAGGCAGGGCAGTCGGCTAACGTTACATTAGCTCAGACCTGCCACTGCTTTGCTTCGTAATGTTCAGTTTAGATTTATTGTCGTTTTGCCGATACTCAGGTCCACAGCTTCTCCACCGTCTCATTCGCTGTTACTAACATGACCCACATATTATACAATACTGCAACAAAATGGCTACAACAACACAGAGAAAGAGCCACCCACTAACACTACAGTAAAGTTTACTTACTGCAAAGTGTTAAAGTGTAGCAACAATCTCAATTATAATATTCAGTCTAGCTCACTAACCATTTCATTATCATCCAATACATGTAAGTTAGCTGTGCTTAAATTGCTGAGCCTCCGGTGAAGGATACAGATAGTAAAGTTAGTTAACGTTACCGAAAAGCAGATAGGCGAGCTAACGCCGATGTAACACGTCAGCTAAATGCAGTAAATCTAACGTTATCATGTAACGAGCATGGATTAGTTCAACCTCAAGCAAAAATATTACTGTAACATTGCAGTGGGAGTTTACGTGAATTTCCACCATGTTGTGTGAAGCTGTTTCCCTGCCTGTCTATAGCGCTTTCATACTACCCTTTTTCCGGGAGTATTGTGCCGATATGCGTCTCGCTGCGCTGTATGAAAGGTATGGAGCCAGTGTTGAGCTGCCTCTGAGCCGGGAACATTGAAGTAGCCTGAACATGTCTGGAGGAAAGCCACAGCTGGCATGCCGATGTTTCCGTGTTAATTGCAGGATCTGTATGAAAGCGGTTGTGTTGTGATTATGCTCGCTTATGAGTTCAAGAAAGCATGCGTACGAGCACACGCCTGGTTGCAATCTTAAAACCGCACTGCTAGTGGCTGCTGAAAACGACATATTGTCCCTTTTTTAAAGGTGGTATTTTTTTTCGATTCACAAATGTTATAAATTGATTTTCTAAATTTTAATGGAAAACCGAATGTTGACAGAATACAAAAACTGGACCTCAGAAGTGTAGAACCAGACAGTCTGTGGTGGCACATAACAGAGCCGTGTTTTTCCCCTTTTTCGGTTCATTGCTGCTGCTCAATGAATGAGCGCTGCTACTGAAATTTCACATGATCATTAATATCAGTATCAGCTAATGAATTTTACTCTTGCGCTCTGCAAGCACGGCAACACTCCATGCTTGGCGAGCTTCCTCTCCTGATCTTTAAATGACATCTACGTGACCAAACCATTCAGTGAGCCCTGGTGGACGAAGCATCTGCATTTGATATGTTTCTCCATTCTTTTATTCAGCTTTTCTCTTTCATTTGTTCCTGGGCTGTACATAGTTTTGGTGTTAAGCGAATCTATGTGCTAATAGAACTTTCTAGTCATTTTTTGCCCCCCAGTATCTTTCCCTGCCAAACATGGGAAGCAGAACAAACACAAAGAGGTGCTACTCAGTGTCAAGGACATGTGGCTTATATCATCAGCTACCTTTCAGCTTAGCTTGTGACTCTTGGAGCCACACTTTGAAATTGTCTGTAGAACAAGTGCTTGTTCCCAAACAGCAGGCATTGACTGGTTAGCTGCTTCTACCTCTGTTAAAACACTTAGGGTTTTCCCATGGACCCTTGTCGTGTAATGGATGGCTGACCATGGCCAACCTGTGACAACTCCTATGCTTAATGTGCTTTTTTTTATTTTTAATTAATTTGCAAAGATTTCAAACAAACTGTTTTCATGATGGGCTATTGTTTGTAGAATTTTGAGGAAATATTTTGGAATAAGGCTGTAACATAACAAAATGTGGAAGATGTGATGCACTGTGAATATTTTCAGGATGCACTGTAAGTGGCATAAAATGTTAAATATTGTCATGGTAAAATGACAGAAAAATCATTTATGGCAATTATTTCTGGGACAATATATCGTCCAGCAAACGTTATAGTGACAGGCGCATGCGACTGTTCACTTGATGACTTAGCGCTACTTTTTGTATCTTTCTCTGTTTTTTGTTGCTGTAGTTCAGTGGGCCATGGAGGAGAGTGCACCAATGCTTCAAGCCCCCGTCGTTTGTCTCGTCAGAACAGCAATGGAGGCCAAGTAATTCCAGTGGCCGGTGAGCCCCGCGAACACCGTATCGACTGCGGTGACATCGTATGGGGATTGGCCTTCGGCTCCTCTGTGCCAGAGAAGCAGAGCCGCTGTGTTAATATTGAGTGGCACCGCTTCAGGTTTGGCCAGGACCAGCTGCTATTGGCAACAGGCCTCAACAATGGTCGCATCAAGATCTGGGATGTTTACACTGGTGAGGACACATTGCTTTAAAGTGATAGGATGTTGTGAGCTAACTGTGATATTAAAAGGTTTTATTAGAACTAAATCAGACTTTTGTAGTATTTTGAATGTCAGTTTTTTTGGCAGCAAAAATCACAGCAGTGGGATTTGGGAGGCACTAAGTTAAATTAACACCATCAAGTCCACGGGGCTTAAAGCTGATATATTCTCCAAAGTGAGTCTTGCTTGTTTGTTTTAGAAAATAACAGAAATTGGGGGATGCAGACCCATATGTTAACTTTTGACTGTTTTGATGTTACTGTCCAAACAGCTCGCCACACCCAATTTCTATAGTGATTTTTATCTTTAGATGTTTATCGTCCACATTCCTTCTTCCTCCAAGAGGAGGTTTACAGATGAAAACAAAATGAAGTTAAAAAGAAAGGTGTGGAATACAGAAACAATTAAGTTATACAGCACTGTCAATGAATAGGTACAAATAATGACAAAAATATTAAGACTGTAATGACCTGCTCAGATTCAGTGTTTACAGTCTATTTGTACAACAGACCGTTTTGAAGTAGTTTTTAATTAGTCCGTCTCAGGTGTGTCTGACAGAACAAAAACACGCATTTTAAACAATCCCCCTGTCTTCACAGACCACATAATGGTTTTTACACTTCAAATCTGTTTTCTTGTCTTCTACATGCATAATTACAGTAGAGTCTAGGAGTCAGTAGATCCCATATCCTCGGAGCGTTCTGTTTGTCATTGCACTTTCAGCACTAAGGCCCCATCCACACTACTGCGTTTTCGAATTAAAACGGAAACATTTTGCTATGATTGCACCTCCCGTCCAGACTAAAACGGCAAAAAGGAAGACCTAAAATGGTGAATTTTGGAAACGCTGCCGCCCCTGTATTGCGTTTCGAAACGCCGGAGAGCGTTTTTAGTGAAGATGGACAAAAACGGAGGACTTTAGAAACGATGACGCAGGCGCTCATGCTTGGCTCTCTGATTGGGTCTTATAACTCTGCAAAGCTGAAACATGATGATACTGACAGTGTTTTTGAATTGGTGTTTTTATTAAAATATTCTGTACCGTGCAAATAACAGGCCTATCTGCCTACACTTGTAGGCTACTGCATGTCAACGGTTACTTTGCAACAACTCCCAGTCTGTTTTCCGCCGCCACTGTCCCATGTTACATTCGGTAACAGTCCATGCTCGTTATTGTTGCATGCAAAAAAAAAATCTGGTGTGATTCTTCGTCTGTATTTATTTATTCTTTCGCCAAATCTTCTGTAACTACATAATAGATCATCTGCTTCATGTTTACACCAGCACGCGCATGCCCAGTGTCTTCATGTAGACAGAGATCACATCTGATATGCAGCTAAAACGCTGGTGTGGAAAACTTAAACTAAAACGGAGTAGTGTGGATGTGGCCTAAAGCTAAGATGTTTCTTAGTTTTCAGTAAACAAAGAGAATCTGTCCTTTCATTTCACGCTATACATGAAGTTCTGTTTTTGTTTCTGATTTTTCCCTTGCAATTCTCTGTTAAAAGCCTGTTTTTATTTTCCATTTAACTCTTTTAACCTTGATTGTGCACTGTAACTTTTATTATTTTTTAATGTGTTTTTTTTTTTCAATATCCCTATATTGCTTTTAAAAAAATTTTTAATTTCCCTGTTGCTTTTATGTTTTATGTAAAGCACTTTGAGTTACCTTGTTGTTGAAATGTACAATACAAATAAACTTGCCTTGCCTTAAGCATACAAAGGTTGGAGGTATTGGAGCCTTGTGGAGCAGGAATGGAGATGCATTGTATCACTAACATAGTCACTGTTAAGTTGTACACATTGTCAAACTTGACTGAGGAGTAGTTGTTACACTTCTCTATGAATGAGTTTTTCATTACTGCTTGACTGCATGTTGCAGGAAAACTGTTGCTGAATCTGATGGACCATACTGACGTAGTGCGAGACCTGACCTTTGCTCCTGATGGCAGCCTCATGCTAGTTTCTGCATCCAGAGATAAGACCCTCCGTGTATGGGACCTCAAAGATGACGGTATGTAGATGAGCTGTCCTTAGTGGAAAGCTTTCAAGCTTTCAGGGGCGTGGCTGGCGCCTGGAGGCTTGGACTTTTGGACGCTTACAACTGCTTGCAATTCTAGTTTTAACTTGTTTCTTTTCTTTTTTTCCTTTTAGTTGTATTTTCAGTTGTAATGAGGTAACAGCAGAGCTCAGTTTGTTCCAGACATTTGTTTCTTCAATTCAAAACATGCTGTTGACAGAGCTCTAAATTGTAAGTTTAGAGGGCTGGTACAGTTTTGAAGAGTGGGAGAAAGAATCTGGGGCTAGGGCCAGTCTGTAAAGGCAAAGAACAACCCAGGAAAATCCTAGTGTATTCTGTTTTTATATTTATTTATTTAATGCAGAGATAATGCAGTCACACAGACATTATGAGAGTTCCTGATCTGTTGTATAGTCTACATCAGTGGTTCTCACCCTTCTTTGAGCCAGCATCCCCCTATACATTATTCAGGTACCTTACGGCACCCCATCAAAAAAGATGCAGGCTGTTTGCCCTGAATATTGTTTATTATTCTTGTTGATACTATTGTTATTAAAAGAACATGAAAAAAACATATTATTGAATGACAAACAGATTTATTACTTTCCCGGGGATCAACAAAGCCATTTGAATAATAATTATATTTAATAAGTCAATGTTCCTTCCAGAACCTCTGTGAATACATATACTGTTTTCTTGGATGGGGCACTTAGTAAGTGGAGAGTCATGGGTTCCTCCCCCAGGAAATTTTGAGCATTAAAGACTTAATTTCCTCCACTCTCTGCCTTTTCTGCACCAGTTTATGGTGGAAATGTTTTAAATTATTTAAAGAGAAATATAAAATTCAGGTGGCAGGTGACAATTCAAAAAATAAAAATGGAATAAACATAATACAGTGACGTACTCATGCATTCTTTATTGCTTTTAAATATGTTTGTCCTGTAGATTAACTTATTTAATATCATCCCAGCTGAGTCAGCACACACGCATGCATGATTTAGTTCCCCCCTCTTTTGTGGCACCTTCTCACCTCAATGATAAATTAATTCATTTTAAATCAGTTAGAAACTCCTGGACTAGCTCCTGTGTTTCAGCAGGTTTTCTGCTCATGTTCAAAACTTCGTACACATTCAGAATGTCTCCCACATATCTGTGTTCTCTGACATATCCAGGAAAAAAAAGTTGTAATGTTAAGAGACTAAAGCCATTGTTTAATAAGAATTCATAATATTTCTACTACCTGCCAAACTGTTGTAAAAAATATTGATTTTTATTTGGTTTGATACATATCGATTCTGAATATTTACAACAGTTTCAGTATTCATCTTCCACAGTATCAATCCTGAAAATGCGCCTTTCTTCTCCCTGACAGTAAGCTGATACACACACTGATACGCAGCCCAGCTTTCTGTCACTCACTTCCTTCTCGTCTCGCTCGCTTTGGTGGAATCATGTTTTTTTTTTTTCCCCCTGCCAGTTTCGACAAGTCCGCCCTGCTTTTCTGTGATTGGCTAGTACTTGTCACTCGTGATTGCATGCTGGTAAATGATACAAGCAAGCCCATATAAAAGTTACTGTACAGAGCGGTGCTTACAAAAGGGCAAAGCACCATCAAGTTTGCACTTCAGTTTTTAACGTTACATTTTTATATTTAAACTCTACATATCACGTTACGGCTGGGTCACAAACTGGATCTGAATCCCAGCTCGAGGTGGTCCAATTGATTACTATCATGGCAGTCGCTGGTGCTGCATCAGGTGCTGGATGCTGGACGCATAATTGCTTTCAGGGGAAGTCCAACAGCGGAACACTGCTCCCAACACCAACCTGCAAATTGGCAGGAAGTGATCTGCAAATGTGTAAAAGCTGTTTTGTGTAGACATAGATCCACAAATGCGTAAATAACTTTTTATGTGAAATTAAAATTAGTACAGATTCAATAGTGCATATTTGTATTTTTGCGGATATGATTTTACACAACACAAATGTAAAAATACATGTTTTGGGTAGGGAGATATTTGTGTACATATTATTTTTACACCTCTCTGCATTGTCCAAATTTCAGAAATGCATAAATAGGAAGTTACAAATGTAAAGTGACCTACAACTTCACAGGAAGTGATCCATAAATGTGCAAAACCCATTTCAAATCACCCATACTTTTTGTGGACAAAAGTGACCATATTCAGACAAGAGGGTGTGGCTAGCTAGCTAGCTTAGTTGGCAAAGTGCGCCCATAATTCACGTTAACTGTGATTTTAATTTAGATGCTATTTTGGGCTGAGGAAAATGGGCTTAAAGCAAGATGTACTTTAAGTATCTTGAGTGTTTTAGTGCAACCAAATGCTGAACAAGACATTTGTAGGTGACCAAAATGCTAAAAATTAATTGAGACCATAAACTCATTAGGAAAGTGTTTACTGAAGTCTTTAGTATGCAGCTACACTCCAAGAAGTAGGAAAGAAACGGTGTGAGTGCATGAGGGTTTTTGTTTTTTGTGGCAACAAAAGGACCTGGGAAAAATGCTAAACTATGGATTGCTTATTTCAAAACACAACTAAATAAATTATTACTTGAATTGCAAAATTAATATTAGGTCATGTTAGATAATGCTGTTTGTCTTGTAGGTAACATGGTGAAGGTTTTGAGGGGGCATCAGAACTGGGTGTACTGCAGCGCCTTCTCCCCTGACTCCTCCATCCTATGTTCAGTTGGCGCCGGCAAAGCAGTACGTATACAAGTTCCTTTTTACTTATTTTGATGTGTTTGCTAGCTAATCTGTATGCAATTGCTTTGTGCTGCTCAATCAATCTACAAATGAAAACACACCCCGTCCGCCATGCCCTCCCATTTCCACCTCAAAACAAATTGCTAGGTGTCATGATAAGTTGAGCTCCCTGCATCTAGATTCTGTTTGATTTTTGTTTGTGGGGGAAAAAAGGATTTTAGTGTTCTGAAGTTTGCATGCAGAGCAGGCAAATGTTTTCACTTTTGTTATAGTAAACTTGTTTCATCATAATTAAGATACCTCTTATGTTGAAGTGGTGGAGGCCAAACTAAACCTTTAAATCATTACAGCAAGGGGAATCTTGGAAAACAAAAATTTAAGCAACTTCTAAAAAAAATACTCTTGGCGTTTTGAAAACAATTGTCTTCATATAAACTAAGCATTAGGGCTGCATGATTGATCTAATCGCAGTTGCAATCGCGATGTCATCATGTGTGATTACATAACTGCAAAAAGTGTGTGATTTTAATTAAACAGAAAAGGTGTGTTGTGTGTTGTGAGACTCTTGTCTCGGTGTGCACTGCAGTCCGCTCATTATCTCCGCCCACACCGGGCTCTCACGTACAAAAAACAGATAAGTACGAACCAGAAAAAGTAATTTATAGGCAGTGAGCAGGTAAAGTTAAAGACGAGAGCAACCGAACGTAACCCCCTTCCCATCCCGGCTTATTGTTCAAGACATAATTGGACTGGCCACCGGAGCACCTGAGAGAAATGCCGATCAGCCGGTCACTCTGTGGCAGAGACAGATGTGTAGTTGGCAGCTGAACATTAGCTGTATCGTTGCCTTTTGTTTTTCAACTACTAATAAAGCCTTTTGTCAGTCACTTCTTGTCAACCACAGCCTGGGTATTAAGAAAAAGTGCTACAACAAACTTTCAAATGTTGAACAATATGATTGACAAATTAGTACTTAGCATTAACAAATTAGAGACCAAATGGATAATTTTGCTTGCACAATAATTAAATAATATTAAAAAAAATGAATTAAAAAAATTAACCCACAGCTGGAACTGGATTAAATATTCAACTTGTGGTAAAATACTATTCCATTATATGAAATTTTAATGAATATAGTAATTAATATATTAACGTTATACTAACATGTTATAATATTATACTTTACACTAGCTCCTTCTCCAGGTTGTGGATGGAGCCTCTGCAATGGACAGATGGAGATTTAGTCAGATGCAGGATGCCATTGTGCCAATCTCCCCCGTGCCACAGTTACGCTGTCATTCTGTCGGGAAAAACTGTATATATTGTTTATCGTCTAACTTTGTTCATTCATTTCAAAATGTCAGTATTTTGGGGTATTCCTTGAGAATCAAGCAAATAGACTCGGTACCTTTTGTAATATTATAATCGAATCGCAATATTGTCCACAATAATCTCACAACTTCTTCTCCAAATCGTGCAGCCCTACTTTGCATATTATTAAAGGTCAGATAAAATTAGATATTGAATTGACCTCCCATATTTCTGCAGCCCCTGGACATTAATTCCATAGACGAGCCTTATCTACAATGTTGCAGCTCTAGATCACTCTGAACATGGTGGTAATGATAGACATGGTGGTAGCTTTGTTAGGCTGTGTGTGTCCCTACAGTGTGTGTCTTGCTCTCCCTGTCACAGGTGGTGGCAGAGCTCAGTGTGTGATTGGTTTTGAAGGGAGCGCCGCACTGACAATTTGAGCAGCCGGTGTAAACCGGGGACGCACAGTGCGCAATGCCCAAAGGCCTGGCCAAGGGGCAGCCTGGCACCTGACCCGCAAGGTCAATCTGTACGTAGGTGCTGCTCCGTGTCTGTCTACCTCTGCTGTTGCAGTTCCTCTATTTTAATTTCAGTTTAAAACTATCATTAAATTGGTTGTTAAATACACCCTGTATCTCCCTTCACCCCCACCTCTCTCCCAAACCCACTTCCACACCACCCCCCCTTATATCTTTACATAGCTCCGTTCACTGTCTGCACACGCTAGCTTTTCTCTTGTTACTAGGATTTCTGTTACTGTCAGGTTAAATGTTGCCCTTGTGCATACAGTGTAACATCGTTATGATACTAATGGCAAGTTATAGCCAACTATTCAGCCAGCTACTACAGTTTAACAACCAACCGGCCCCTCCCTTCACTGTCAGTGTTAGCCAACAGCTCTCAGTGCTTTGCAAATTTTACACAAAACCCTTTTGTAATGGAATTGTACAGTTTTCAGATTATTGTTGATATTGGTACAGATATTCTTATGACTATTTTTGTGCATTTGCAGAGCACTGACAATGTCAGCTGCCGTATTAAAACTTGAGAAAACAGTCGACAAATTGGCCAGTTAGGTAACTTCTCCATCTGCAGCTGTTTTCCTGTTATTATATATAGCATATGAGCGTTTCTGCTGTTGGCAGCTAAAGTGGAACAATATATTACCCTTTTATTTCATCTGCATTTCTGAATCAGCATACTTGTGATGAAAAGCACAGCTTAGAAATCCCACAGAGAAAATTATACTAATGGTTTTTGACTTAAATTGGGAAACTAGGAGAGGAGGAAGCTATTTAGTATAGAGAGAAAGAAACTGAACCACTAGCCTGCACATGACTGTTAGGAGTTTAATGTACATCAACTACATTCCTTCACAAGCAGCTTTGTGGCACTTTAAAGAATTTATCATTTCTTAGTGACGATGTGCAGACATTGATTTTATATATATATATTTTTTATAAATGCATAGCTCTCATATGATTAATTTCCCTGGAGATATTAATACACACATTATCACTTTTGTGTGTGTGTTTGTGTGTGTGTGTGTACTTTGCCAGAGGTATAAACCCTTTGGCCATAAAATATTCTTTTCTCTTGCAGTATCTGTCTCTCTTCGTAGGCTCCTGCTGGAGGTGTGAGCCTATTGTAAACACAGTGAACTAAAACTCTGAAAGGGGAAGCCAGTGGAGTAACATTATGTTACCTTAAGTTACTACTCGTTTTATTTTCTCTTCTTTGTGTAGACTTTTTATGATAAAATAATAGTATTTATTTAGTATATTCAATAATGTATTATAATATGTACTAATCTAAATTATGATGATGTAGATTATTGCTATTAGGCCTATATAAAATGTTAGAATGTTTAATTATAATTTCCCATGTAGGCCTAAGTGAAGTGTTGCATTTTGCTATAGCCTTGCTGCTTGTGTAGCATGTGCACTTTTGTTTGTATGGCCTGGTTAAAGGTTACAAAGCTTTACAATGACATAACTTGAGCATAACTATGTTTTAATTCTGTTTAATTCATGTTTCTTAATTGAATTTCTAAATGCAAGTGTAATGTAGCGCAAATATACTCTGTCCAAATCATTTCATAAGGCCATAACAGTGCCCTCTTCAAATTGCAGGTGTTCCTATGGAACATGGATAAGTACACATTGATGCAGAAGCTGGACGGGCACCACAATGATGTGGTGTCCTGTGAGTTTTCACCAGATGGGGCGCTGTTGGCCACTGCCTCTTATGACACCCGAGTCATTATATGGGACCATCACAAGGCCACTGTCCTGCTGGAATTGGGGTAAGAAGTACACAAATGGGGTTCAGGGTTTTTCTGCCTTGCATAATTGTTCGTAACTGCGCAGGTCAGGGTAGAGTTTGCCAATGAAAAAGTATTGTTTTATTTGTTTTTGTGGGGTGGGGCTTTTTCAACTGTATATCATGGTCTTTATTAAGGGAGGGTGTGCTTCGCTGTCATGTCAGTTTTTCATCAGCAGCATTTGCTGTATTTTAAAGTGAGCCTATGTAACTTGTATCTGACCGTAGTCACAGGACAATGGTAAATGCTTAAACAGGCAAGCTTAAACTGAGTTAGACTCAGTAACGTCAGTTACACAGCAATATCTACTGCCTTTTTTCCATTACCAGTACCAGCTCAACTTGCCTCTACTCGACTCGGTTTGGCTGTGCTCTGTTTTCCATTGCAGACAATACCCAGAGATGGTACCCCTCAGTGTAGCTGGCCGTCATAGCGACGCCACACACAACTGCCGCGACGTAATGTTGTAATGCGACACACACACCAGCGATCCACACAGCTTTCTCTTTTTTAAGTTAAAACGTTCCAACATTCCTCAGAATGTAAAGACAGATAAGCGGTATGAAAACCTTCCAGCTGTGTTTTCCTGTCTGTGTGACGCCGGGAGCTGGCCGGCCTCACACACTCCTCCTGCGGGTTGGCGCAGGCTAACAAAGCAGCTCCTCAACTCCAAAAACATTCAAGCACGTTTTTGTTCCTCCATCACTTCTTGTAAAACTGTCAATATTGGAAATCTACACAGCTGATTTCTCACCTCAAAACTTCTCAGAAGTGGATTTAGTGATGAAATTCCATACGAAAACTGTAAAATATAAAACTTTCTGATGCTGGCCTCTGTCTGGTGCAGCAATGATGATGCAGTGAATAGTGAATATTCTCTCTGACCAATCAGCAGTGTGCTGTGTTTTCACGTCACATTTTAGTATCCCTCAGCTCGCCTGGAGGTGATACAAAAAAGTACCTGGTAGTAGGTACAGGTACAACATTTCCACAATGGAAAACATGCCAGACCAATGAGTGTACTGAAATGAGCACAAGTGTGTTTTGTTGCTTATAAGTTCTACTTTTTAGTTTCAAGAAAATAAATGTGCTATTGAATGTGCCATTTGAAATGGTAAGGCGGTTCTGTCTTTGGCAAACAGTGAATGTTCATTTTTAACCTGAGAAACTTTGTTGATAGTGATGGTGTTATTGAACTCTTGCTCTCATCTTTCTCCAGACATCTCTTCCCTCCTCCATCACCCATTTTTGCTGGGGGGGCAAATGACCGTTGGGTTCGCTCTGTGAGCTTCTGTCCTGATGGCCGCCACATTGCCAGCATTACTGATGACAGGTAAGACACTGGATGACAGTAGAGTTAAAGTAATACTCCTTAACTTAACCACTGGTCAGGTGGTGTTTCAGTTGTTTATGTATATATGTGTATCAGTTCAGTTGTTGTTTATGTTGCAAAACTCTACCAGATTTGTTACAATTCGTCACATCTCGAGCGGGTCCAGTTGATTACTATGACAGCGTACACCGGTGTCAGTCAGCTGGACGGAGTTGATTTTCTCTGAGTCGTCTATCTGATCAGTTATAAATTTGTATTTCACTGCGTGAGAAAATTAATCTGTGGCATGACAGCATGTGAAAAATGTAATTTGCACAAGTCTCGCGAGACAGCTTTTTACCTGAAATATCTTTACATTTTAATTTTGCGGGATCTCATGACGCGAGATCTCGTCACACCCCTAGTAAAAAGCAAAGTGAAGCAGAAAAGCTTCTGTTTGCTGCAGTTTGTCTTGACATCTCGCAGGGAGTCATGAGTCTGACTGGAACTTGAGAGCACAGAGCTACTGTATGTTTGCCTGTTTGTACGAGTCACATGAAAGTCACAAGTGATCTCTGGCTGGCAAAGTGCTGAGTTGGTGGTATAAAATATGTTCAAAAGAAGCAGGAGGAAGCTCTGCAAAATGATTGCTGGTATTGGGTGGGGGGGATGCAAAAGAAATGTATATAGCTGCATTTCGACCAAAAGTACCTGGGACTTTTAAGGTTCCGGATCTCTTTTCAAGGAACTAAAAGGTTCCTTCAGCCCAGCTGTGTGCGTTTCCACCGTGGTCTAAAGACCTGCGAATGTTGCTCATGGGATAGTGGTTACAAATAATGATGCCTGTGCATTGCTTTGTATGGCTACAGCCTACGTCAGCTGGTTAATTTGCCTAATCTTCGCAGGTCTTTAGATCACGGTGGAAACGCACACAACAGTGGACTTAGGGTGTCTCCAGCAGTGGAGAACACCTGGATATCATCATCCTTAAGTTTACAATGGAGGACAAACAACACAAATTTAGAAGAAAATGTGACTGACAATAAATAACCATTAGTGTATATGATTGTCATATAGTAATCCATCATTACATGTCAGTGACTGTCAGGAGCATCAAGGAGAACATCTGGAATGATCTTTCCAAACGTTACCAGGTACAAACGCAGAGTCGTCTTCCTGCACTGTGTAGCGTTTGCGCAGTTTCTGAAGGATGGGCAGTACCTGGCCACAGGTTGGACTTTTTTCGCTGGAGACAGCAAGTGTGGATGTGTAATGCATCCTCATCAGCAGCACAAACTCCTCTGCTTTCCTCAGGTCCTCATTGCCCGTTCTGGCCAGTCTGCAACATAAACAAAACAAAAAAAATATATTACATAAACAACAAACATAACCTTTTTAATGGCTACAGTCAACAAAGTTTCATATAAGTCATCTTAATTTTCTCCTTCTCCATGGGCTTTCTAAGCCGTTGGTCTATAGCTGCAGCTTGGATAGCAGGAAACTGTTCAGAAATTGTCTCCATTATCAAATACAGAGAGTTTCATCTCGTCCTCACATCTAAAAGGAGCATGTGCTGGGCAGCTCTGCAGGCACACACACAGATTGAGATTACATTAAACAATTTAATATTACCATTACTTTATCGTTTTTAAATTGATCCTAATCTGTTCATTTATATGTTACAATTTGTCGTTAGCTTGCAGTGATAGTATTTAAACAGTAGGCCTATTACTTACTGAGGAGTTGTTGCTTTTCCTTCAGGACTACTGTAGCCATGTGAGATCTCTTCATCCATACGATCACAGAACGAATCCTTGCTGCCCAGTTGGAAACTGTATTGCAGTTGTACAGCTTCTGAGCTCCAAGGTTAAGTGTGTGTGCAAAACATGGAAACTTGATGATGTTTAGCGTTTTCACATCCATGTTTGCTGCGTTATCCGCAGTTTGCTGCCACCACCTTCTCTTTCACTCCAAACTCCTCCAGGATCCCCTTAATCTCCTCAGCTACAGCTGTCCCTGTTTGAGCTTTGTACACTGCTTTGGTTTTGAGGACTTTTTCTTTACTCTGACCTTCCCTGACATAGTGCAATGTTACGGTGAGGTAGTGGTCATGACTGAAACTAGTCCAACCATCTGCTGTGATGGCTGCATGTGTGACATGTTTCAGGTCTGTGATCAGATTGCTCTTTTCAACCCCATACCAAGCAGGAATCAGATGATTTGTTAAACTGTCTCTGTTTGGGGCATTGTATTTTGGGTTGAGAGTCTTTATCATCTCCCTACAGAAAATATAAGGTAGGACTAGGAATAAATAAAACAGGACTATACTGAAATAAAAACATGAAACTTTTGGTCATGCATTTGTTCATTTGAAAAGACATGCTGGACAAAACACAGCAAATTAACCTACCGAAATGCAGAGGCATCTACTGTGGCAAACTGGTGCAAACCCTTTACCACAAACTTAGTCACTGCTCGGTGACATTCGTTGATCCTAGCCTAGGTCATTTTATTCTTCCCTTCCTCTGTGAATGGAGAAGCTAGAGGTGCACCAGAGCTACCTGCTGCAGCCTCTGAGCCAGCCAGACTCTGGCTGTCTTCATCATCATCTAAATTTGATGGACAATGACAATGGAGATTATTTGTATAGTAAAGGTTTACACAATGAAATGGTGCTCACATTAACTAAGTAGACAGGGCCTGTCCTGCCTGGAGAGTTTAAAGTTCCCTTCTGCATTAATAACAGATGGCGTCCTGTTGGCGCAGCTGCTGCTTGACTCCCTTGTTGTGTTGCTAAGTAGTAGTGTATCAAACACGCGACAGTCCTGCAAATGAATTGCATGCTGTGTGGCCAAATGTTTCTGCGTATTGGACCTAGTTTCCCCCCTTTGACGAAATGGAAACTTTACAAGTGACCGTATTGTCTTCTTTTCGTGTGAAATATAACCAAACTTTAGAGTGCTTCTGCCTCGACACCGTGCTGCGTTCTGAACCAAAACAACACAGCGCGTGTGTGACATCATGACGCATTCGCAACGAGCAGACCGATAAGTAGAATCGTTAAGCAGGCATGCTAACGGTTCCAAGTAATACATTTAATGCAAACGCACAATCTCCATCGCCAAGACTTGTGCGGCTGTTTGACTGTTGATTGTGATTTATTGGTTGCAAACAAGGTCGGAAAGAGAGGAAGAAAAACGCCCTACATTCTCCAGTTAAAGCCAGCAGCCTGCCCTCTACTCGCCTGTTCAGAATTTCACTGCAAGGCAAGCCCCATCCCCTCTCAAAGTACCAGTACTTTCAGAAAATACTACCCCCCCGAGCAGGGACTTTTTGGGGAGTAAAATGAAGACCCTAGAACAAAATTTTAGACCCTGCTCCCTTCGGTGGAAATGCAGTGAGTTCCTCCAAAGGTTTCTAGTTCCGGGGTTTAGTTCCTCTGATCAAAACGCAGGTTATGTAACTTTTTGCTCCATGCATAGAAAGATATATTGACAACCAGCTGATCTGGTATACCCATGTAAATCCTACTTTCTAACAATACCCATAGTCCTAGGATAAGCGTAAGTCATGCGGAGGCACTGCCCTGGGCTAATTCCCCTGTATTTGTGGCTTTCGTTTTTGTGTAACTTTGTAAACAGTCACACCTCCATAAAATTTGCATTATGTCTGAATAAACAGTAAGAAAAGCTTAATCATTGGCATGTTTTTCTGTCCAAGACTGTATTTCCATTTTGTGTTGTAATGAACACTGAAGCCTCTAGGGTTTAGATTTTCAGTCCTGTGACTTGGTATTACACTTGTATGAAACTGAGTCTCACAAGAGACAGATTTATTTTTTTAAAAGAAGGATCCTGGTTCACATTAAAGCAGCAGAGGCAGAGATATGCTGACTTATGGTGCCTAGTCTGGGTCAAGCTCAAAACACTGGATCCTACATTTCCAATAATGCAGCCAATAGCATATTTTCATTAGACACTCTCTGCCTAGTAAATGCCCACATTCAAGGTTAATTTATTTATCATTATACAACACAGGGTAGTCTCTTCATGCTACACACACACGCAAAAAGTTTCTTTCAGACATTATGTTCTCAGTTTGTACCACAGGTTATTTGTTATAAATGTGAATCAGCAGTTTTTATGCGGGGATGTATGAGGGACAAATTAGTCCACAAGTAGAGGGGAGCAAGCGGTGCTGCTGGTCAAACACAGACTTAAACTTAGTTTGACAATTGCCAGCAGGACACATTTTACTCAACAGTAAAAATATAAAGGCCTTCCAATTTCTTTCATGCAGCTTGGATTCTGACACCAGTGTTCTTGTTTGTTTTCCTGTCTCTGTTCAGGCTGGTTCGTTTCTGGAGCATAGAGGAGAGAGCTCCTCAGGCCATTGCCTCTCTCTCTAATGGCCTCTGTTGTGCCTTCTCTGCTGAAGGAAGTGTCCTTGCTGCTGGGTAAGACACCAGCACATGTTCAGACATACACAGATCACATTACATTAACTAAGTCAGCGTTTCCCAACCCTCTCCTGGAGGCACACTACTCCTGCATGTTTTAGATCTCTCCCTGCTCCCACACAGCTTCAAATGATCATCTCGTTATGAACTGCTAAAGCTGTTAAATCAGCTGTGTGGGAGCAGGGAGAGATCTAAAACATGCAGGACTAGTGTGCCTCCAGGAGAGGGTTGGGAAACGCTAAACTAAGTCACACTTTATTTACCCCTGCCTTATGATAGAGGAGCTGAGGAAACCAGTTCTCAATGTTTTCTCCGCTTGCTCTCTCCACGGGCGGGCTGTATGCATTCTTAGCTGTGAAATCACTGTGTTCTTATAATGTACCAGTGTTGTGAGTTGCTAAGAGTTAAAACTCCTTTTTGATTTATCGTCATCATTTTTGTTTGTTTGTTTGTTTGTTTGTTTGTTTCTAGGACTCGTGATGGTAGTGTGCACTTCTGGGAGTGTCCTCGTAGCATTGCCAGTCTGCAGCACATGTGCAGGATGGCTCTCCGACGGGTGATGACCACCCACCAGGTGGAGGCCCTGGCCATTCCTACACCGCTCCGTGACTACCTGACCTACAAAGTCATCTAATCTCCCCCACTCACCACCACAGCACCAGCTGACCCAACTGCACCTGTGGCAGCAGAATGCTGGAAAACTAATGAATCCCTTATTTTCTGAAGGTTTTTGTAGAACTCTGAATGAACAATGTTCAGTACAGGAGGAAAAGAGTCAAGTTTTACCAAAAGCTCAAAGCCACATCCTCGTGTCAAACCCCCACTGTGTCTTCTTACAGCAGGATATGTCGTTGTTTTGTACGTATTTATTTTTGCCTTAGCAATCCCCTCCATCAGATGAATGTGGTACCTGTAAGTGTTCAGATCATCTTCCAGCTGGCCCCAGCTCTCTTTGACTTGAAATGGCTGTTGCACTTACTGTAATGAAGCACTGCAGTGGTGCCTGCTCCTAACGTCCAGTTTAGTTGGTGAGTTAAAAGGATGGATGAGCTGTTTAGAGAATGCAGGCTTTTGAAGGCCAATACTCAGATCACCTACTGATAGCACAGTAGCCTATATTTACATTACATTATTGTCATGGCATAAAAGAAAAACGTAATCAACAGTGTTCTCTTAGATTTTGAATATTTCTCTAAAACATTTTATACACTTCAATCGCGCCTCCTAGACATCTTTTAATGTTCGTAAGCAGTAGTTTGTATTTCCAATAGAAAAAGATTGGCCAGATGTATTAGATGCTTCAATACAGTATGCAACCTAGTTTGCCTAATTTAATTAATGCTGTTTGTAAACAGGCAGAGTGAGAATTCTTTATGGGTCATTAATTGATTAGATATTTGATATTTAGTGCAACGTTTATAAATTCTTAAAAATGCTGGTGTGACCAGACCTTTGGAGACACATTTTTGCTTTTTGCTTTAAAGCCACCCTGTTTAGTTTTTGACCACAGTAGCACTATGGAGCAATGTTTTGAGTGGGTGCCCATTTTGTTTTCATCGCATGCATGAGAACCTGGCAAAGCAACACAGAATCCTGCTAATGGTCTCACGCTGTTCCACTGATTTGAGATTTGGTGGTTATGCACAGAGAAATATAGTAATGTACCAACAAAGGCAGGAAAGAAGATTGATAGTTGATGTAAACAATGCAGGTTCTAGAATGAAGAATGAAGGATTTATGAGGAAGTAATGCATTCAACACATTTGTCAGGCCTCAAGGATACACAGTGTTGTGGTGAAAAACAAAATGTAAACACAACTGTTTGTTTACAAAAAATACTCAACAGGGTTCTTTGAAAAACTACGAAAATAGCTCTAATATGTATTGCCTAACTACACTAACTGGCTGACATCAGCGTTTTAGCACACTGCAAAAATCTGCCACACTTCTGGACTTTTGGATAACATCGGTCCAACACCTGTGTGCTAACTTGACACAGGTGTAGCACACCCAAAGAATGTGGTGACATAAATGGCAACATACAATGCTTGAATTTCAAACCGTGTGAGTGAGAGCGCTGTCCTGTGGGGCATACAAAGCCTTGAGACCAGTGTTTGATTTCATTGTAAAGCAAAGCACCTCTGTCGCTTAATTGCTATCTATATTTGAACGTCTATACAGACTACTTTGTGATATGTATATACAAAATTGTACCATGTCTATAAACATATCAAAGCTTTTTTTTCACTTTATTTCATCAGTTCTACTGTTGAGCATTTGTATTTTTGTACTTTTTTGTTTTCCTTTTAAATGTGAAAACCTACACATTCTACAGCTAAAGCCCAAAATGAAAGTTGTATTACATTTCTTTGCAGGGCAGACTGTGACAGTGCTGCTGTGCCCCTGTTACATATTTTTGCGGTATGTTGAATTTACAATTACATAAATTGCAATTCCAGCAACCCTGAAAGTAATCACAAGCAACCAAACAATCAGCTGCCAAACTCGGCCATCTGGTGTTAAATACCTTCATGTTCACATAATTCGCATATATGCACATGATAATCCACAATTACTCTTTAAGATGCAGCATATTTAGAATCCTCTGTCTTGATTGTCATTTCCAATTTTTACATCAGTAACGAGATGTGAAGGGAGGGAAGTTGATGCAGAGCAGCTGTCAGTATTTAAGTTCTCTGACTGTGCTAATGCTAAAGGTTTACCTTTTCAGATGGTTTAACATGGGGGAGGGGTCAGAATTTTCTGCTGAGATAAAGAGGTTATTTAAGGAGTGGTCTGCATGGCTTAAATCTATACAGAAGATGTTTCTATACCTGTAACCATCATGATGGGACAAACAGTCCTGCCTCAGTGAGATGCAGTGTGTGTGTGTGTGTGTGTGTGTGTGTGTGTGTGTGAATATATGATGTTTAAAATTCCTGCAAGTTTCTTGTAATTTGTTTTTGTGTGTTTGTAGTTTCAATAAAGGCTTTTTGACAAAAGAATGTTGTTTAATGATCGGAGAGAAAGTCTGCAATGTACCTTCAGACAACAGACAGGTTTTGGCAGGGTTTAGATTTGCTTGACAGTGGCCTGGCAACAAGTACACAAGTAAATATGCACACAGAAGGATTCACAAATGTATTTTGGGATTTGTGAGTCCAAAAATGATTTAAGGCTCAAAAATATTTATTGTATGAAAATGTTAAACACATCCAAAGATGTGTATTGGCAATTCAAAAACGTATTTGGATGTTACATTTACTTTCAAAGTGCTTGTGATTATTGACCTACCCAGTATTTGAGTGTGGGTTTTTTGAGACTGCTATGGCTTGATTCACAAATGTATTTTTTCAACAGGGAATTATCTGAAGCCAATCACGTACGTGATTAAGAATATTACTAGGAGAAGCACATACGGCAAACCTTGTCGCTATGGCTGCACACAGTGTATTGTTTGAGCATCGTCATCCCAATGTGCCCTTGCGCAATAGTCACATCGCAGAACAATGCAATGTCAAGCAAGTCAAATAAACTCAAACACTTCAGCTTTTTTGCTACTTGATACAAAAGAAAACATTCTCATTTTCCATGACTAATCTACAAGAGAAGTCTGTCTGATGTCATCATTTACTCAGATTTAAGGGGTTCTTGGATACACAGTTTGTTGCTAGTGAGTAACAAGCCGGCTCTGCATGCCCAGCAAACCACTAATCACAATATTGTTCTTGATCAGTTTATCAAAAGACTAAAGATTACTACCGTAATCCCCTTCCCCCACCACTCCACCACCCGCACCGCCGCTATCCGTTGAAAACATAGTCAGACTTGCCAGGAGAAATCCGCCGACACAGTGGATTTGGTTGCAAAAAGAAAAGCAACTTTTATAAACCACCCGGAAGAGCTGGTGTACAGCCGGTCTTTCATTTTTATTTTCATCATTTGTTTAAAATATGTGTACTGCATAAAAGCTTAAGAAAGGATAGTAGCACTCAAACAAAGATTTCAGACTATAGACATTTTTCAGCTAATTTATTTTCTATGGCTTATTTCTTACAGAATCATCCCAATAATTCTAGGATGCTTAATTAATTTCACATAGAGCAACATGGGGTCATCTGGCACAAATTCCTGTATTTTTTCATATTGCAATATATATCACAGAAAAGAAAAATATCGCAATGCAGGGACGTGCACAGGGGGGTTGCTCTGGTTGCCCGGGCAACTGCCCGTTTGCCTTTCCTGACTCAAGTTGCCCTTCCGACTCGCCCTTCCGAGAAAAAAAAATAAAATAAAAAAATAATCGCGATCGCAAAGCCTCATTCACTTCCATTCGGGCACCGAAAGTGAAAGTCAGTAGGGGAAGGGCAAACTCTGTTTAAGTGGCTGCACTGCTGCAGCGCTGCCTGCACGTCAGTCGATTCTGTTCCCTACCGGAATTCCTGTTTCCTTCCTTTATGCAATCATACTACAACAAATCATGCGTAGTTTTGCCCAGTTACCATACGTGATACGTACCAACAGAAGTGAATACGAGCTAGAACCGCAACTGAATGTACGGGAAGCCAAAAGGTTAAAAAAGGATTGTATTTTTTTCCGAAATCTAAGCGTTTTTTTATTTAATATTTTATTAGAAGCGAGTTTTCCCCATCTGTCAATTCAATCTAGATTATTTATTTTCAAATAAAAAAAAAAAAGGAAAAAAAAGAAAAAATAATAATGACTAAAAAAAACAATAAACAATAATATAAGGAAATCTTTTTCTCATATGTATTTTGGTGACATTTATATTGTTAATACATTTTGGATACTGTGTTTAGTGCCTTTTTTCAGGTCAGAGCAACTGCCCTTCAAAATTCCTGTGCACGTCCCTGTCGCAATGTCATTTTATTTCCAATATCGTGCAGCCCTACTTGCCACCAAGTATGCATCCCTGTGTCAAAACCTGAGGGACAGCAAGGGACTCTAACTGTTGCACTCAACGTTCGCTGCATGGCAGGTTACATCTTGTTCACTTTTTTTGTAGTTTACGTTCTATCTGTATTTGTTATTTTGTCATTTATAACTGCTAAATTAAATAGTCTTGTTATGTTATAATTAAATATAAACCTTTGATTTTGACTGCTTCGGCAACATTTTTGAAAGAGGTCATATTTTGGCTTTTTCCCTCTCCTTTATTGAGTTATATATCTTTTTTGTGCCCAAAGTCCACCTCAAAGGGAGTTCCCATCTCTCACAAAAAACACAACTCTATACTGCCTGAAAACAGCTCGACTGTGCCTTTTCTTTCGCTTTCTGGTGACATCAAAAGAAAACAAAGCATAATGCTCGTCTAGCGGCTAGTCAGGCACGCCCTCAAAAACACCAGTGGAACATGTTATGGACGAAGCCACCATGCAGATTTGAATGGAGAGGAATGAAGCCAGTTTTGGACCAATTTTGGACTACTTCCTGTTGGCACCAGTGTCAACTGTGCATGATTGCGCAGCATAACCGAGGCTTATTGATGTAAAGCAATGGCAAAAACACTGTAATTCTGGTAGCTGCATAGCTTCACTATGCTGCACCAACAAGAAGTTTCTTGGCTCAGTGTGTTTGTCTGACTCAGATCGTCACTGTTAATCACCACCTACAAGGCTCATCTGCCAAACACCAACACAGCGTCGCTGATGGTCGAATAGTTGTTTTAGATTCACAGAGAGTTTATAACCTAAGCAATACTGTTACATCTCTCATTTGCCTTTTTTGGCCTACATGGAAACGTCCATGCAGGCTTTGGTCGGCTTTACTGTTTCAACTATGGCTTACCCAAGGGGGTCGGCCTTCTTGCTATGTGGGAGCACAACAGACCTCTGACCTTTTGAATTCTGTTCCGTAAATGCTCCGTATTTGTATAGCGCCTTTCTAGTCTTTTCACACTACATCTGCATTCACCATTCATTCACTGAGCCTAAGTGCTCAAACGGAAACTAACATTCACACACATTCAATTCGGCAATTCGGGGTTCAGCATCTTTCCCAAGGACACTTCGACATGCAGCCAGGGGGAGCGTGGATTGAACCACCGACCTTCCGATTAACGGCCAACCTGCTCTACCACAGCCTTAGGGGCGGCTGTGGTAGAGCAGTCAGGAGGTAATCACTGAGTTTGAAGGATTTGCAGAACTTCACCTGCCTCCCAGCTACTCTTTCTATGGTACTATAACTGCTAAAAACTCTTAGCTTCAACAATCTACTACTACCCCTTCTGTGTCAAAACAACTTTTCCAAAATAAATCTGTGGACTTTTCTATTTTTTCTATTTTGAGACATTTAATTTGCCAGTGAAATATAAAGTATTATGTAGTATGTAAGTATTATGTATCTTTTACTGCCTTTCTTGGGTTTAATTCTATTTGATGAACCACCAGGGAAAGGCAGTGCTTGCTCTGTTGGTACCTATGTATAGTAAAATAAAAGCGAGGTTGAGTCATTTAGTTTTTCTCCCTGGTACTCATCTCCCAGATTTTCCCCAATACCTGGAGAATGTGAGTCTGTGCAGGGTTTAAGGACTGATGATCAAGGCTGGCCCCATCATCTACCATCACTCTCTGTTCAAATAAATGCTGACTGTCAGGACAAAGCAGAACACCACTCCTTCCTCCAGCACCAGAAAAGGGCCCTGTTGTTTCAGATATTTACATCATGATTTATGGTAACCACACCTTGTAATTGTGGCTCTGCTTTTGTAGATAAGGATGATGTCAACTTATGTCTTTTAATACACATTTATATCATATACACTAAGCTTTATGTACAACAGTGAAGCAGGGCTCTGCAGTGCAACTCTTTCACGCCCATATGCCCTTAAATGATTTACAAGCATAGTGGGTGAGTGAAGACTAAAACCTACTGTAAATGTTTTTATGCTCCGTACTTGTATAGCGCCTTTCTAGTCTTTTCGACCACTCAAAGCGCTTTTACACTACATCTGCATTCACCAGTCACACACATTCATACACTGAGCCTAAGTGCTCAAACAGAAACTAGCATTCACACGCCAGGGGCAAATCGGGGTTCAGTATCTTGCCCAAGGACACTTCGACACGCAACCAGTATAGTTCAATGGGGGTTTATTAAGGGAAAACAAACAAAAGGCGAGCACACTTACAGACAGAGTGGCTGGTTAACAGAGTCCAAAAACAAGGTGATCCTAACAGAAATCCAAAGGTACAGGGAGACAAGACAAGCAAGGCTGGTTACAGGCAGGCAGAGAGTACACGCACGACAGACTGGGGGGTAACATGAACAATGACCAGACAAAGACAAGACAGAAACACCAGGTATATATACACAGGGCGGGAGCAACACAGGTGACAGACATGAGACTAACGAGGCAGAGGCAGAGAGAGAAAGAGCAGAGGAAAACAGAGAGACTAGACATGACAAGCAGACCTGGGGCAGAGTGAATAAGCGACAACACAGAAACGCACACGTTACAAAATATCAGAACACAGTACAGAGCTTAACAGAGAACACAAGACCAGGAGTAAACACTAAAGACATGAACTAAAGTACAAGACTAAGAACATGACATGGAATCAAAGACCAACTAATAACAGATAATGAACTGACCAAACAATAACTCAGAGGAACTCAAAACACAACAGACTATAAAGCAGATACTGGACACTAGACAGGACAGAACCCAAAACTCAACATACTATAAGGCAGATACTAAACTCAAAAGTGCAACACAAAGAATGGCCGACCGGCAGAGCGTGACACTTCAGGATGTTAAAACCTGGATGACCTGTAATTTTCTAATGTTAAACTCAGTTAAAACTGAAGATATTGCTCTGGGGCCCAAGCACCTCCGTGACGCATTATCTAAAGATATAGTTTCCCTGGATGGCATCGCCTTGGCCTCCAGCACCACTGTGAGGAATCTTGGAGTTATCTTTGATCAGGATGTTTAAGTCTCACATTAAGCAAATTTCAAGGACCGCCTTTTTCCACCTAC